AACTTTTAGTCCTTAAAGTGTACATCTTTTATTAATTTTGTTCTCATTGTATCAATTTTGTTAATTTGGTTCCTAAAGTATTCAATTTGTATCACTTTGATTCCTACGTAGATGAACCTACAAGGTTTATCTTGACCCATGTGTCATTTTTTTAGAAGGTATAACGTGCTTAACACGTAATCATTCCGTCAAAAATTTAATAGTTCGCCTATGTAGAGACTAAAGTGACACAAATTAAATACTTTAGAGACTAATTTGAAAAAATCATTACAATTAAGACTAAATTGAAAAAGCAAATACATATTTTAAGAATTAAAATTGCTACCCAAATCATATTTAACTCTGATTGTCATTGTTATTGTTATTGTAGGGTGTTGTAAGTGCAGAAAAGGTGGACTCCTTCAACTTGCCTTTCTACCATCCCTCTTCAAAGGAGTTAAGGGCATTGATAGAGACAAATGGATATTTCCATGTTGAAAGAATAGAGAAATTGAGTACCCCCTGGAGACACGAAACACCCGATCTTCAACTTGTTGGCATGCATTTGAGAGCTGTCATCGGGGGACTAATTGAGGAACACTTCGGAGATGAGATCCTTGACGACTTGTTCCAACGCCACATTAAGAAACTTGGGGAGAGTGCATTCATATACGATGAGAAGTACCGTAAAGAGGCTAATTATTTTGTGTTTCTCAAGAGAAAAGTCGCTTGATCATAATACGAATAGTCTCTTTGTACGTGATGAATAGTGATGGTATAAGTCCATTCCAATGCTACGTACTACAAGGCTGGTGATATCGGTATAAATGTGAAAGGTTAAATAACGTCTGTAATGTGGCAAAACATTGTTATCAGGGTAAGTAATAGTAATCGTGTGTAATCCACTTTTTTTTTAAATATTTTATATGAATGATTGGATCAGTATTTTCGTAACTTAAACTATCTAAAATCAATTTGCTAAATATGTCGACACAAGTTTGAGGAATGTAAATTTTACTACGGTTCTTGAAATTTGGCCAAATTAGACGATCATTTAACATTTGAATAATAGTTCCACAACCTCCCAGGCTTAAAAATCATATCAAGCAGGCCCTCAGCTTAACTACCCTTACTAATACTCACAAAAAAAACGAGTTATTTACCGGTGTAAAATACTTTCTAAATAATATTAACGAAATACAGCAGTTTGAAACATTTTTAACAAACCAAGACACTTTTTATAAGCAAGTTCAACAATCCTGCTTTTGTTAAAAAATGGGATCAAAAATCCTCTTTTTAAATAAGAAAAAATGATTGGTAATAGCACGAAAACTATGGGCTTAACACATGAAAAGCGTGGTTATTAAACATGTGTTTTTTTTTCCCAGCAAGTTTTGTGCAATCCAATCCATCTCTCTCTCTCTCTCCACTTCTTACAACAACGATCTGATCGGTTCAACTGGATCCATAAATATCTCATTTAATCAGTAGATTAAAAAATCAATGATCTGATCGGCGCAACTGGAGGAAATTTGAAGACATATCTCCTCTGTTTCCTTCTCTTCTCTTCGTCTTTGTCTAACTTACCTTCTTTTTTTTTTCTTCTTCTAAATAAATTGTGGTCCGGTTGGGTGATTTGAGTTGGAGAGAGAGAGAGCGAGAGAGAGATCCTCTGTCTATAAATACCTTGAAACCCAGAATTATTCAGGAATCAAAGATGTGTGATTTCTTACTTTTCTTGTTTGGGATAGATTGATTCATGAAGTATTCCTTGTTCTTGGTGCTTTATTTCTTCTGGGTACTTGTTATTCTTGGTCCTGTTTACTAACCACAATTCTGCCTATAATTTCCTCACCAAGCTTTTGACCTGTGAAAGAAAATTTTATCCTCCTTTAATGAAGTTATTGACTATGGTTTTAAGAAAGCTGGACTGTTGATCCCGCTTTTTAATAAAAATAGAGTTGTTGACTCCATTTTTAGAGTGTTTTATTTTAATAATATTATTTAGAAATTGTTGTACATCAATGATTTTTTTAATACGACCATTAGATTGAAAGAAGTCTCCATCAATCATTATTTTTATTTTTTGAGAGAAAAAACGATTTTCTTTTATTTGCTAAGCAACACTTGATACATCATTATGGAGATGAGATAACAGAAAAGATGGAATCTCTTCTCTCCACAGCGTACAAAATTACAATTAATAGCATATTTAGTTAAATTATGGGCAACCACATTGCCTTTCCTACTAACCCAAAACCGATGAGAAAACTTGAAAGTTTGCCTTCAGGACATTAGTTTGATCAAGAAAATTACCAACTTCAGACAAGGACTGCTGCTCCTGCGATAAATCTTTAATAAAGGACTTGGAATCACCTTCAAGAATAATGCTAAATAACCATATCCACCGCTAATTGCACAGTTGTATAAGCAGCCAAAGCCTCCACACAATCTGTACTTAAAACACTTTCCACCTTCTGACTTAAACCTGCCAGAAAATTCTCAAAGCAATCCCTAATAACAACACCTACTCCAGAACAACTGAAAGAGCGAAAAACAGCCCCATCAAAATTTACTTTGCAATCACCAGATTGTGGTGGAATCCACTTAGATCTCTTCTCAGACACATTCGGCATATGATAGCTCAACCTCGAACAATTAACAGCTTGAAAATGGTGAAGATATTCCCTTGAGAACTGGATAATTTCCACCGGTGATCTGGAGCAATGTTCAACTCGAAACTTGTTTCTATTGAACCACATAACCCATATAATAACAGCTATCAATACTACCTCTTCAGAAGTTACCTTCTCAAAAATATATATAAACCAATCTTGAATATTCAATACTCCCTCTACTGGAAATTGAATTACAGTAGACTCCCATACCGATTTCGCAAATGGGCAAGTAACAAACAAATGGAAGGAAGATTCACCAGGATACCCACATAAGTAGCATTCATTATTTACCATCAACCTTCTTCTATGTAAATTGCACTGAGTATGTAAGATATCAATAAATAATAGCCAGAGAAAATTTTTGACCTTGTTAGGCACATGAAGAGACCAAATGAACAAACCAAGCCAACGATCCATTGTATTACTTGAAGTCTCCATCAATCATTGAAAATCACATTTAATCCAATGGCTACATTGAATTAGGTCTGATTGCTCATAATTTTAAGACAAATTAGCATTTTTTGAACAAAGCAAAACAGGATAGATATGGCATTAAGTCAAAAAATTTAGGATACAATCAGTCAAAAAAAAAGCCGTAAGCTCGAGGGGGTGGGGAGCCAAACCAATTCACCGGAAGCGAATTGTTTAGCATATTGGCTACCCAATGAGCAGCCTTGTTAAGGGTTCTAGGCTTGTGTAAAAAGCTAAAGTTATATAACCTAGCATAATGTCTAATGTCCTCAATAATTACCCTAATTTCCCACAGAGAGACGTCTTCATTGGAGTTGAGTTTGATGATGTTGAGGCAGTCATTCAAGATAGTTGCATGGGTGATCAGTTGTGCTTCTGCAAGGAGGCATGCTTGTTTCATAGTCTCAGCCTCTGAAGCCAGAATCGACGGTGCAGGGAAAGATTTTGTACTACCAAATTCAAATACACCCCCATCTTTACATAGCACTGCTCCACAAGCTGCCTTTGCCGTTTTTGGTTTGAAGGCCCCATCACAAAAAATACAAGCTCCATCTTCATCCTCCTGTGGTCTGGTTTCCCTCATCACTACCTCCTACTGTCTTTTTGATAGCCTCTCTTTACCAGTTCTAAGTTGATCCTTCCACACTGCCTGAGCACACAAGACTGTAGCGTAAGCATTAACCTCCTCCATATTGAAAATGAACTGGTTCCTTGCCTTCCATATTATCCAACCCACTGTGGCCATTTTCCCTACGATGTCTAGTCTCCTTTGTGCCCCCTTCACTAGCAGTAGGAGTGTCGATGTTCTTTGGGCCACTGACATGAATGCTGAGTCTTCTCCCTGTAATAAGAGATCCATTCCAAATCAGACCCTCTTGGTCCACTCGCATTCAAACAAAATATGTTCAATTGACTCTGGGGCTAGCATACAGATTTGGCATATAGGCGATGCAGCACACTTTCTTTTGAACAAATTTTCATGAGTGGCAAAGATATTTTGACAAGCTTTCCACCAAAAATGCTTGACCTTAGGAATAGGCTTCATTTTCCAAATGGATTTCCATAGTTTAGGGTGGAGGGAAATTGAGGAACTGACCTCCGACTGTGCAGATGCTAGCTTATTCTCCAGCATATACCCATATTTAACCATATAGTTACCCTTGCTAGTAGGCCACCAAATTCTCTTGTCTCTACTCCCATTCATAGGTAGAGGGATAGTGTGAATTGCTTTCAGTTCCTTTCTTGAAATGACTGTGTCCAGATTAGAGGTATTCCATCCTTTGGGAGTATCCTTAATGATATCTGTAACCCTTACAATGGGGCAATTTTGGGGCTTTGGAGATTGAATAGCAAGACGAGGAAGAAGAGGAACTCATTTTTCATTCCAAAAACATACATCTTTGCCATCACCAATTTGNGCTTGTTAAGGGTTCTAGGCTTGTGTAAAAAGCTAAAGTTATATAACCTAGCATAATGTCTAATGTCCTCAATAATTACCCTAATTTCCCACAGAGAGACGTCTTCATTGGAGTTGAGTTTGATGATGTTGAGGCAGTCATTCAAGATAGTTGCATGGGTGATCAGTTGTGCTTCTGCAAGGAGGCATGCTTGTTTCATAGTCTCAGCCTCTGAAGCCAGAATCGACGGTGCAGGGAAAGATTTTGTACTACCAAATTCAAATACACCCCCATCTTTACATAGCACTGCTCCACAAGCTGCCTTTGCCGTTTTTGGTTTGAAGGCCCCATCACAAAAAATACAAGCTCCATCTTCATCCTCCTGTGGTCTGGTTTCCCTCATCACTACCTCCTACTGTCTTTTTGATAGCCTCTCTTTACCAGTTCTAAGTTGATCCTTCCACACTGCCTGAGCACACAAGACTGTAGCGTAAGCATTAACCTCCTCCATATTGAAAATGAACTGGTTCCTTGCCTTCCATATTATCCAACCCACTGTGGCCATTTTCCCTACGATGTCTAGTCTCCTTTGTGCCCCCTTCACTAGCAGTAGGAGTGTCGATGTTCTTTGGGCCACTGACATGAATGCTGAGTCTTCTCCCTGTAATAAGAGATCCATTCCAAATCAGACCCTCTTGGTCCACTCGCATTCAAACAAAATATGTTCAATTGACTCTGGGGCTAGCATACAGATTTGGCATATAGGCGATGCAGCACACTTTCTTTTGAACAAATTTTCATGAGTGGCAAAGATATTTTGACAAGCTTTCCACCAAAAATGCTTGACCTTAGGAATAGGCTTCATTTTCCAAATGGATTTCCATAGTTTAGGGTGGAGGGAAATTGAGGAACTGACCTCCGACTGTGCAGATGCTAGCTTATTCTCCAGCATATACCCATATTTAACCATATAGTTACCCTTGCTAGTAGGCCACCAAATTCTCTTGTCTCTACTCCCATTCATAGGTAGAGGGATAGTGTGAATTGCTTTCAGTTCCTTTCTTGAAATGACTGTGTCCAGATTAGAGGTATTCCATCCTTTGGGAGTATCCTTAATGATATCTGTAACCCTTACAATGGGGCAATTTTGGGGCTTTGGAGATTGAATAGCAAGACGAGGAAGAAGA